GACAGGGTCTGGTGGGGCTGGAGAGATGGCTCAGTGGTTAAGAGCACCAACTGCTCTTCCTGAGTTCAATTCCCAGCAACCACATGGTTGCTCACAACCATCTGTAATGGGATCTGATGTCCTCTCCTGGTGTGTCTGAACAGAGCAATGGTGTACTCATATACATAAAATAAATGAATCTTGCCGGGCGGTGGTGGTGCACACCTTTAATCCCACCACTTGGGAGGCAGAGGCAGGTGTATTTCTCAGTTCTAGAGTTCAAGGCTAGCCTGGTCTACAGAGTGAGTTCCAGGACAGCCAGGGCTACACAGAGAAACCCTGTCTCGAAAAACCTAAAAAAAAAAGTCTGGCTATGAGGCCAGGTTGGCCAGAGCCATCTCCCGCCTCTGCCTCCCCAGTACTGTTGCCTTTGGTGTCTGGTTCCCCTGTCAGCGTATAGTACGTGTCCCTTCACATACAGCTGTGGATTGTGTCAGAGCCTTGCTCTTTTTCATGGCTAAATAACACTCCGGTGTGCACATGGCCAGGCACCTAGAGATGCAACCTGGCACAGCCAGGTCACTAGTCTTGTCCCCTCACAGGAGGTGCGGGAGACCCGACGGAGGCATGAGCGGCGCTTGGTGGAGGTGGACAGCAGCCGGCAACAGGAGTATGACTTCAAGATGGCTCAGGCCCTGGAGGACCTGCGCTGCCAGCACGATGAGCAAGTGCGTCTGTACCGGCTGGAGCTGGAGCAGACCTACCAGGCCAAGGTAGGCTGTGAGGAGAGGGGAGGGGACCGCCCATTACTCCTGATTACTCGCCACCTGCGCTCACATTCCGACTCCCCTAGTTGGACAACGCCAAGCTGATCTCGGACCAGAATGACAAGGCAGCCCGGGCAGCCCACGAGGAGCTCAAGGAGGCCCGCATGCGCGTGGAGTCCCTTAGCTTCCAGCTCTTAGGCCTCCAAAAGCAGGTGACAGGGCCCAGCTGCCCCCAAGAGCCTCCGGCACTCCTGTCCTTCCTTAGTCCCTCACATCCGAGAGTACAGAGGCCACCCCATGACCTGGCCACACCCTCCCCAGGCCAGTGCTGCAGAGAACCACATCCGAGAGCTGGAGGACGCCTTAGCTGGGGAGCGTGACAAGTTCCGAAAGATGCTGGACACCAAGGAGCAGGAGGTGACAGAGGTGCGCGACGCCATGCAGCAGCAGCTGGCAGAGTACCAGGAGTTGCTGGACGTCAAGCTGGCCCTGGACATGGAGATCAGCGCCTACCGAAAGCTGCTGGAGGGCGAGGAGGAGAGGTGGGGGGGCAGGTGGGGTGTGGGGGACCAGAGAGAGCAGGGCAGAGGGGAGGGGCAGAGCTTCAAAAGCAGTCCAGACGCTGCAAGTGGGCGGCATGCAACGACTTGACCATGCCTCCCTCCCCTCCCGGCAGGCTTAAGCTGTCCCCCAGCCCTTCATCCCGGGTCACCATCTCCCGGGCCACCTCAAGCAGCAGCAGCAGCAGCAGTGGGGTTAGCATGTCTGTGGGACAGGGCCGGGGCAAGCGCCGCCGGCTGGAGACTGAGGACACCCCAGGCTCACCCAGCAGTGCCTCCAGCGTGAGCAGCGCCTCCCGCCTGGCCCAGCAGGCTGTGGCCATGGGTATTGTGAGCATTGACGAGGTGGACCTGGAGGGCAGGTTCGTGCGCCTTAAGAACTCTTCAGACAAGGTGAGCGCCGCTGGGTGAGTAGGACGGGTACTCCGTTCCTGGTGGCCGGAGGGCAAAAGCCTGTCTGGGTTGCAGGACCAGTCTTTGGGGAACTGGAGGATCAAGAGACAAGTTCTCGAGGGTGAGGACATCGCCTACAAGTTCACACCCAAGTATGTCCTGCGGGCCGGCCAGACAGTCACGGTAGGTGCCAGTGGGTGTTGGGCCGGAAGTTCCCAGCACCAGTTTCTAGTGGGGAGGTACTGTGTGGTTAGCATGTTCTGAGACCAGCCCTGTGGCCGCTGAGCTGCCTTTCCAGCTACCACACCGGTGGTTCAGGGTACTGCACTGTCCAAGTGATGCCGGTGTCTGAGGCCTGGCAGTTCACAGTTCTGAGTGTGAGTTGAGTGTCTAGTCCCCGAGGTGCTTGGATCCCAGAGTTCTCCAGCTGCGTGCTCCGGATCATTGTGAACCTGTGTCTCTTCCACATCCTGGGGCTCTCCTGCTGGGAGGAGCCCAGTTAAGGGCCTCATGGTGGGCAGCCCTGAGGTGACTGGCAGGGCCCATCTTGGTTCCTCAGGTGTGGGCAGCTGGCACAGGGGCTACCCACAGTCCCCCATCAACCCTTGTGTGGAAGAGCCAGAGCAGCTGGGGATCGGGGGAGAGCTTCCGCACTGTCCTGGTCAATGCAGACGGCGAGGTAGGTGCAAGCATGGGTGACTGGGACCTGGCACCTGCCTCCCCTCACAGCTGGCCTCTAGTGAGATGCAGCCACTAGCATTGGGGGTGGTCACGTGACCTGGTGACTTTTGTTGTACAGGAGGTGGCAGTGCAGGCTGCAAAGCAGTCATCTGTCCAGGGGCGCGAGAATGGGGAAGAGGAGGAAGAGGAGGAGGCAGAATTTGGCGAAGAGGATCTCTTCCACCAGCAGGTAGTGAAAGCATGTGGCTATCATCACACCTAGTGGGGCTCTGCACCTACTGTTGCTCTGCACCTAGTGGGTGTAGGTTCCACAGTCTTGCCTCAGATGACTATACCCACTCACTGCATGGGCTCTGTGACACCAGACCTCAAAGGTTACACTCCAGACCCCTCAGTCAGGATACTCTCTGCTTGGAGCTTGGGGTGGGGAGACAGGGACTCCAGCCCCTCCAAGTTAGGGCTGGGGTCAAAAGGAAGGCTCTGGAATAGGGCCTTCTGCTTGCTTGGGAGCAGGCTGCCTAACTCTATCCTCCCTCATTCCTTGCAGGGGGACCCAAGGACTACCTCAAGGGGCTGCCGGCTGATGTGAAACCTCCCCCACGGTCACCATGGTCCCCAGAGCCCCTAAAATTATTTTTTTATGGTCTGTTCTCACTAGTCCTTGGTACATTTCTAGATGACTGTTAAGCCACCATGAGGATGGGGGGGGGGGCTCTGCTGGGTTTCTGAGATGGAGGTGTCCTCTGTCCACAGGCTTCACCTGGCCCCATGCCGTCATGATGATATACAGGCTTGTGTGGGGAACCTGCAGGCTGAGGGACTTGGGCTTGGATTTGGGGCAGGAGAATGGCTGCTAGCTCAGGGTGGACCTTGTATGAAACTGTGGTGATTCAGTCATTCTCTGTAGCCTTTCAAATCAAATCAAATTTAGAATCCAAGAGGGCCATGGAGTTCACCAGCCTCTCAAGATGTAGTGGTGGCTCTTAGGACATGAGGCCGGCCCTCCTCTCCTGGAGTTGATGGCACTGACGGAGCACCTGAACCCAGAGCCGTTCCAGCTTTGTGCTCTGGGTCTGACGGCTTTATAACAGTCCCCAGCTTCAGGGCATTCATAAGCTTCTCTTGGCCCAGATTCTGAAATGTTCTAGTCCCTTCTAAAGCTGAGGACCAAGAAGGAGGGAGGTCACACATTGGACGACTCCTAAGACTGAGGGGACAGGCAGATTGTGGGCGTTGTACCTTCAGGAGCAAAGGCTGCAGGTTCCCAGCCAGTGACTGCTCACAAGAGTGTGGCCAGGCTGTGCTCCTGGCCTCACGGGTATGTTCACTGCGTGGCCCCTCTGTGCCCCACCCTGATGGCAAGGCCTGGAAACTTAGTGCCAGGAGTCAGCCAGTTTCACCTGTCACCTTCCCACCGACACATGGTATTTTTTTAAAGAATATTTATTTTTTTACATCAGTCAGTAACACAGCTCACTGGGACGCAGCTCTGGGGGTTCAGGGTTAGGTTAGCTGCCACGACTAGGGGTTACCTATGACAGCTTCCTTTACTGAGCTGTCGGGAGCGCTGTCTCCCTCCTGGCACAGCTGATAGCAGGAAGACTTTAGGCCTAGTCTCCCTCAAGGCAAGAGCTCGTGGCCACAGGGTGCCGCCACTGCCACCGAACTCCGGAGCCCACCAGCCGCCTCCTGCTTCTAGATACCTCCGTTTTGAGACCGCTGTTGGATCCTGGATAGTCGTGGCTGGCTGCCGAAAGTGCGCAGCCCTGCCCACAGGGCGGGGCCCCTCAAGTTTACTCCACACTGGAGCTAGCTTCCTTATTTAGGAGGAGCAGGTCTAGAGTAACCTGCAGGTCCTCAGAGGTCTGTATCTGGCCCCGGCTAGGGGAGGTGGTTACAGAGTGGCACTGAGGCTGGGGAGCCACCTGTACTGTGCACATTGCCCAGCTCTACAGATTGTTTCTTTTATAAGATGCATGCCAAACGTGTGTTCCACCCTTTCTTTTCCTCCTATGATTTTTTTTTTGTTTGTTTTTTGTTTTTTCGAGACACGGTTTCTCTGTGTAGCCCTGGCTGTCCTGGAACTCAGGCTGGCCTCGAACTCAGAAATCCGCCTGCCTCTGCCTCCCAAGTGCTGAGATTAAAGGCGTGCGCCACCACCGCCCGGCCTCCTCCTATAATTTGTAACATACATTTTACAACTGGAAACTTTTGTACACTCAAATAAACACTGATTTTAACTGCAGCCTCGTTGATCCCGATAGGAGCGGCGAGGACTCTATTGTACGCATGCGCAGCGGGGAGGTACGCGACGAAAAGACCCTGGCCCGGCCCTTTCTAGGGCGTCAGAAGTCAGTTTGCGCGTGCGGGAAGTTGCACAGCCTTCTGGGAATTGTGGTTCGGGTTTCGTGTCCTTCTATAAGCCAAAGGACGGTGTTTAGGGTCAGCGCGCACAACCTTGTGGGAGGAGTCTGAAGTTTCCCATAGAGCGCACGGGTTTGTGGGAGGTGTAGTTTGACTTGTTTCCATGGTGACTAAGGCCACAAATTTGTCAGACTGGCGACGACGCGCGCTGTCTTGTGGGAATCGACACAGCCTCTGTTTCCCGTGGTGCCTCGGCTTCCGGCGCGTACGGTCCGCGCGCGCGACCGCGGCCCGGTTGACTGAGCAGCCATGGACAGTAGCTTCGGCTCGGACTTCGGAGGCACGGGCGGCGGGAAGCTGGACCCGGGGGCCATTATGGAGCAGGTGAAAGTGCAGATAGCCGTGGCCAACGCGCAGGAGCTGCTACAGGTACGGGGCGCGCCGGGGTTGGTGGCGGGGTTCCCCAGGTGAGTCCCCGCTGAGGCCTGGCATGTGTCCACAGAGGATGACGGACAAGTGTTTCCGGAAGTGCATCGGGAAGCCCGGGGGCTCCTTGGATAACTCGGAGCAGGTGAGACACCCCGGGAACCCGGGGATGGTGACGGGCGTAGGGTCTGGAGCTTCGGGGGGGGGGGGTTTAAGGGATCTGCGCGTGCGCGGCCTTTAGCCCTAGCCTACTGAGGAGTTCTGCGCGTGCGCACAATGAGACTCGGGCTTCTGCGCTGTGTAGGTGCAGCCTTAGTGGGGGATCCTCGGGTCGGGTGACCCTAACCCAGTGAGGGATCCCCTCCGCGCTTTGCAGAAATGCATCGCCATGTGCATGGACCGCTACATGGACGCCTGGAACACTGTGTCCCGCGCCTACAACTCTCGACTGCAGCGGGAACGAGCCAACATGTGACCGGGACCTGTGCCTCCGGACACCGTGCTCTGGTCGGAACTGTTTTCCCTACGAGAAAGGGCGGCTCCTTCCGGCCGCCCCGAAGTCTGGCAGTATGGAGGGCTCAGGGGTCGAGGCCTCTCCCCGGGCTGCTGCATCCAACTCAGTCTCAGAAGAGAATGAGGACCCGTTCGAGCGCGGGGATCTGGCTGGCCCCACTGACCTGTGACCTCATGAGAGCAGGCCAATAAATCGCTGCTGGGGCAGAAAAGCTGGCGTGTCACCTTACTGCTTCAGGTCCCTTCCCCAGAGTAGGCCCCGACCTCCCAGGGTATCTTTGTTCTTGGTGTCAGTGGGCTGACATCAGGTGCTTCGTCATTCCGGGTAGAGAGCAGCCTAGGATAAACATCATGGCTCCATGCAGCTCTCACCTGTTATGCATGAGGCCCTGGGTGCCATCCCCAACTCTGAATAAACCAAGTGTGGTGCACACCTATCGACCCAGCGCTTGGGGGTGGGGGTAAGTGTGGAGGCAGGAGGATTGCTACATGAGACTCTGTCCCACAACACCAAAGGCACCAGAGGAGCCGAGTTGGAGACATGGCCTGCTCCCGGAGACGCGTCGACAGAGGTGCTGAGCCAGTGGAGAAGGGACTCCGTTTATTAGAACAACATACACAGTCACAGCCTTTCCGGTGGACTCCCCACCGAGAGTCGGTGGCCGTCATTCCTGGATGTTCTGGCCTATCCATCCTAGCACCGCAGACACTCGAGTGTAGACACCTGGAAACTGGGGCCTGCCACAGCCGTAGCCCCAGCTTGTGACCCCAGTTAGCACCCATTGGCCAGATGGCTCCCTGCAGGCCAGGGGTCCCCCTGCATCACCCTGAAGGAGAGAATGTTCTCAGACCAGCAGCCCTTGGTAGCGGGCATGACTCCTGCAGTTGTAGGTCTCTGTGGGCACTAACAAGGACCCTGAGTGGGAGAGAGGCTGCCAAAGAGCCTCGCCTTTGCCGTGTGGGAAGTGGGTTCAGTGCTAGCGTGCTTTGCTTTGTTACTTGACCGGCTGTGCCTCAGCCAGGCCCTTGTCCGGAGGACCAGCCTGTGTGCGAGCTCTGCAGGGGTAGACCAGAGGGGGCGCTGAACAGTTATCTTTATTTTCCATTGCAGTGACAAGGAGTGGTCGTGTGAACCTGGAAGTATGTGGTGGCCAGGTGCCAGCTGTCTGTAAGCACAGCCTTTTTATATGATTCCTGGGGATCTGTGCTCAGTCCTCCCGTTTACACAGCAACCATGGCACAGAACACAGATCTCCCTGTACCGAGACACATCTATATGTGTTGTTGGGCAGGCTGGTCTCAAACCCGGTAATGGCCCTGCCTCAACCCTCCAGCAGGATGTGGGGTCGGGAAACCGCGTCTGTCTCTGAACGCTCAGTTGTGAAATGTGATGTCCCCAGAGTCAGGTGAGCTGGGAAGACTTGAGCAGGCTCAGTGGGAAGATGGGGTCGCACAAGCGTGAGGACCCAAGTCAAACCCCAAAACCCAGGTGAAAAGCCAGGTGTGGCAAATGTGAATGGCGCCAGGACTAGGAGATGAGACAGGAGGATTCCTGGGACTTCTTGCCTCAAAGGGTGGTGGCTGTGCAGAACTTCGGGCCAGCCTGGGCTGCACACATTGACTAAGAGAACCCCTGTTGCTGGGCGGTGGTGGCACACGCCTTTAATCCCAGCACTTGGGAGGCAGAGGCAGGCGGATTTCTGAGTTCGAGGCCAGCCTGGTCTACAGAGTGAGTTCCAGGACAGCCAGGGCTACACAGAGAAACCCTGTCTCGAAAAACCAAAAAAAAAAAAAAGAGAGAGAGACCCTGTCTCCACTCACCGAGCAGCTGTCCACGCCACCCTGCGGGAAGCCTGCGCACAACATACGACTGCTGATCTGCACCGGGTAGAAGCGGCGACATGTCTGTTCACTAAGGACCCTCACCGCGGCCTTCTGCAGCTGCCGCGTCATGGAGCCTGTGGGATCCGGGAAGTAGGTGTGGGTGCGAAGGGTCTCCAACGACCCCTGGGTGGCGCCCTACGCACGCGTGCCTACCTCCCTCGCGCAGCGAGCCCCAGCCGGTGATGACGCAGCGCGCGCCGTCAGGGGGCCGCGCGGGACCCGGTAGGCAAATGGGTCGCACCGAGCGACTGCGGCGCACGGGCCCGGCCAGCTCCAGCAGCGCCACGTCGTAGTCCAGTGTGTAGATGTTGTAGAAAGGGTGACGATAGATGCGTGCCACGCGCTCCAACTGGCCCTCCGCGCTGCTCAGGAATGGGGTGCCCAGGAAAGCTGCCCACTGCATGGGGTCCCCATAGCTGCAGGGCGCGCGTATGTGTGGGCAGTGTTACCGCCACACTCCTGCCCGAGACACCGTCCCAGTGGAAACAGATTGCTCTGTCCCCTGCCCAGCTCAGAGAGTGTCCCTTTAAGGGGACACCACAACTGCCTCACACACCCTCTGGAGAACTGAGTGTCAAGGCTCTGGACCCCCACTAGGTCAACTAATGGAAATGGGGAACACACACACATCCGTGCGCCGGACAACCACAGGCTGACGGAGCGCCAGCAGCCCCAGTCATTTCTACTAGGGCTCTAGGTGCTCAACGCTCCAGAGTGCGTCTCCCTCCTGTCCCAGGACCTTCACATCATGGGACAATCTGACCCTTTCACCTTGTGACCAACAGGCACATGAACACATGTTGGGGGTCCCTTAAGGGACCCCCCATGTCCAGAACCCTGCCAAGGAGGGACCGTGCCTTCTGTTTGGTGGTCTTGGGGGACTGGGGCCAAATTGCAGAGGTAGGCTTGGGAAGGGCACCCAGAGCAGGACTCACATGTCGAAACAGTGTGCTGCAGACAGAAGCCACCTCTCGGCCACCAGTACTGCCCCACAGCGGTGTTCCCTGCGCCGCAGCCACAGGCTCACTTGCCAGGGCCACTCCCCAAGCGAGGCTGCGCTGCCGCCCACTATCCGGGTCAGGCCCCCGGGGGATGCCAGGCCGCAGTCTGTGGAAGAACAAGTATGGTAAGCCGGGTGCAGAGGGTCTTCCTCCTACCCACAACGAGGCTGGGACCCCAACCCAGCACTCTGTGCCCCGAGGGAGGGGCAGAGGGTAGTCTCAGGTAACTTCCAGCTGGCTTCTCTTTCCCAGCCTCAACCAATACAAAAGGAACCCAGGGAAAGAAAGACATCTAAGGCCCCATCGGAGGAGTGGGGAATGAAGGAGAGTGATTTCAGAGACTGCGCGGTCCCCTTCCTAAAGTGAGCAGCGGGCACTGGCACCGGGAGCCGGCGCCCACCTCGGGCCTTCCCTGGCTTTCCGGCTGAGAGTTCCCAGGCCTCTGCAGTGACCAGGGTCAAGGTCAGATTGAGCTGAAGGTCAGGCTGGGAACGCTCCGGTGTGGGGTCTCCGGAGGCACAGGGCTTCTAGTAAAGGCCCTGCTGTGACCCCCAAGGGCCCGCTGCCTCTGCACGTAGTCCTGACTCCATCTGCTGTTTCAAAGCCACTCAACACCGCCTCCATATTGCTTCAAGTGGAGGAGCAGCCTCGCTGGTCCAGTGCTAAGATGTCACAGTAACCCAACAGTAATGAGAGGAAGGGGTGAGAAAGGTCTAGCCTATTTCCTTCGTGAACTCACCCTGGGCCAGTGTCCCTGCAGCAGGGAGTCACAGCTGGGGTGCCTAGGTGTGGGGGAGGCACTCGGACAGTGGGAGGCAGAAACAGCCCCCTCATCAGCTCTCCAGCCTGCCTACCTGAGGATCCCCAGCAAGGGGACACTGTCCCTCTCTGCTCATGCCACACCCACAGATGCCCAGGGGCGGTGAGAGCCGATGACACCAAGCAGACACCGGTCATGTCCTCACCTCTGCAGATGGTGTACTTTTCCCAGCTTTTGTAAAACGTTGAGGCTTTGAGACACTATCTCAATATACACGCAGCCAGAAAGGCCTTAAAGTCCAAGCAACTCTCTTGCCTCAGCCTCCAAGACTTTTTGGTTTTTCGAGACAGGGTTTCTCTGTGTAGCCCTGGCTGTCCTGGAACTCACTCTGTAGACCAGGCTGGCCTCGAACTCAGAAATCCGCCTGCCTCTGCCTCCCAAGTGCTGGGATTAAAGGCGTGCGCCACCACTGCCTCCAAGACTTAAGGCATGTAGTACCACACCCAAGCTGCAAAGGCTTAGCTGAGGCGTTACTCCTCTCTCCAGCCGGCTCGTTCTCTCTCCCTCCCTCTAGAGATGCACTCCTCTCCTCTTTTTATTTTATTTGAACATTCCTGGACTGGGCTGGACCACTCCCCCAGTCCCTCACTGAGGGAATCTGCGCATAGGCTCCACCCTGACCACGCCTCCAGCCATGGGGGCAGGATTCTAGGCGGGGCTTCACCTCTGAGCTCTGTCTTTGTCCTTACTGTTTGCTGATTGGAGGTGCTCTCACTAAGTAGTTGATCACTAGTCTAGAAAGCCCCTCATAGCCCAGGCTGGCCTGGAATTTGTGATGCTCCTGTCAAGTAGCTGAGATAACAGGTGCTTGCCTTTAGGCCATTAGGAGGATCAGGAGTTCAAGGTCAGCCTCAGCTACTGAGTAGGTCCTAGGCTGGGAGGGGACTTGACAAACAACCAGAACACATTAAGTAAAGAACGAAACCGGAGCTGGAGAGCTGGGTCAGCGGGCACGGTTGTGTGCAAGCCTTTGACTCCTGCAGGGACAGTGGCAAAGGCAGGAGGTTGGCTGGGACTTGCTGCTGAAGCCCAGTGGCTGCAGGTTCAGTGAGGTGCCTTGCCTCGGAGGGGCACTGTGCAGTGATAGACGATGGCATTCCTAGCCTTGCTGGAGTGGGACACAGATGCCCCCTCTGGCCTCTGCATGCACACACAAAGAAACGGACAGAAGATGTCGGGACGGAGGCACACACAGCAGGACATGGGGAGAGTGCCCTCTGCAGGCTGGGCAGGGTACCGCAGGACCCTGACATCGCGCCCCAGCTTTGGAACCATTGGATGGTGTGTCTTCTGCACCATCGTCGTGCTGTGACAGGGAGCGGCCTGAGTCATAGCCTGTGTCACCATACCTGGCAGGTGAGCGCCCGGAGCATTCGGGGCTGGTGTCTGTCCGCTGGTGGTGGTACTCCTGGCAGACAATGTCGTGTTGAGTGGTCTAGTAGTCACTCTGATGGTGGCCCTGGGGGTAGCAGCTCTGCCAGTGGTGGCTTCTGGGCTAATGAGGCCA